ATTTAACGAAACTGTGTGTTAATCCTGTTTTCTTGTATGTTATACTCACTTCCTCTGTTCTTAAAGACCTTGTGCAGTAACAAAGTGGGAGCAATACTGTAGAAAACAGAATTATACAATCACAATGTAAAGCAAGGATATTGATGTGACAGATGCAATGCTTTAAACAGTTTTAAAAATACTTTGTAAAAACAAAAATAAATTAGATTTCTCATTGTCTTTAATTAGCCCTTAACAAAGAGGAAAGAGTAGCTGATTCGGGAAGCTACAGGGCCTCATAAATCAAGGGGATGACAAGACGTAAACCAAATATCGTTTTGATTGCTTCGTGTTTGATTGTTCCCTTTTCCTCTGCACATTGAGTCCTCTTATGTGTGTGGATGTGGGCTGTGGGTTTTCTTTTTTTGGGCAGGGTCTTTGTTCTTTTTTTTTCCCCCCGTGTGTGTGTATTTTTAATTGGTTTGCTTGCCCCTTAGGGTTTAGGTTAATCTGATAGCTGAGGCCATCCATGTCGCTGCTAGCTTTGCCTATGCTGACACTGGAGAGAGATCCTTCCCTGCTTAGCTTGCTCCACAAGAAGCAAGGATGTTGTGCATTGGGTTAGGTAACCCAAAGATTCCTCAAAACCTGCATGCTCCTTTTCTGTACCCTTGTGGTGCAACTTCCAATCTTCAGTCTGATTGCAAGTTTCTTTCATAATCTGGCGCTATGTATATTGTTTACGCTTGCCATTTGTGCCTTGCATAGTTTTTTGTTTGTTTTAACTGGAGGGAAGGGGAAGAAAAGAGATAAATTGCAATTACATCCCTTCTCTGTTTCTCTCTTTTGTGCTTTGGTAGGCCTGGATGATTGCCTGCAGCAGTATGTCCATAAATTTGAACGGGAGAAGATAAATGGTGAACAGCTGTTGCAGATTTCCCACCAGGATCTTGAAGACTTGGGTATCACACGGATCGGACACCAAGAACTTGTTCTAGAGGCTGTGGATCTCCTGTGTGCACTGGTTAGTTAAATGGTGAACAGAGACACAAAGAATCCCTAAAGGGTGGGGGTGTGTGAGTGTGTGAGAATAGCTAGGGCAAGGCTTATAAAAACGGTGTACCTGTCTTGCCTACTTCTTCTGTTACACGTCATACTAAAAGAAAACAGTAAGAATTAGTTTAATTCTGGTAAGCTATAGGTTAGTAGCTCTTGCTCCTTTTCCTGGTAAGAGGCAATGGTGATTTATTTGGTTGCGCTTCTACGGAAAGAAGCTGTTGGGGTAGCATCGTTAGATCTTGTTGATTCCTGTTAGTGAATAGAGTGATTAAAATTGCTATTGAGTAAAGTGATTTTTTTTTTACAGAAAATAAGACTTGCTCTTGAAATGACAGCTGTTAATGGCTGTTCACATCAGTTGAGGTAGGTTTAGCAATTCTGTAGTCTACATACGAAGTGAAGAAATATGTTAATTGAGGAATGTTTTGATAACTTAGTTACAGAGTGAGTTCAACTCTCATTAGAGTTGGAACGTAAGCTGTTCTTCTACCTTACTCCTGATGGATTAAAAAATATCTGTGCAGTTATACAAACGTGCTGAAAATAATAAATATACTTCAGATTATTTTGCTCTGCAGCATCATCAGTAAAAGCTTTATTTGAAAGCCAAGGTTCGGACATGCTCTTGAAGACGTCTTTGATGTAACGCAGTGAGTGAGTGCCAGAGGTATATACAATTACATCACTGAGAACGATGGGAAAGAATGCTCTGCGATGCTTTTGCCATTACTGGCCTGCATTCCGTTCTTTATGCAAGGCTTGCAGCATGGAGCATATTCTTCTTAAAATGGAGAGTCTTTATTGCCCGTGTGATACATGCTTAATTTGCTGCCAAAAGGTGCTATGGAGATCATCTGTACTTGATAAACGAAGAACAAATTGGATAGCCCATACTGAAGGAAGTATGTTTAATAAAATAGCTGCATATAACCTGAAATGCTTCCTGAAGAATTTCTTTTACATTTCAGAACCTTTTTATTTGCTCTTCAATATTTGATATTTCAACTTTTTTTAATATTTAAATTGAAAATCTGATAAAAGAACTGAATTAGCCTGAAATGAAATTCATGCTGTGGGAGGGGATAATCTGCTAGATAAATGAAGGAGTCTGCTGAATTAGAAAATGTACTGCATACTGTATACAGTCTTGACTGAAGTAATGGATGTAGCAGCCCCTCAAGGCACTTTTTTCTTACTTTTTAAAATACTAGAATAAAACGAACAAAGCTGGATGACTGCCAGAACCTAAAGCTGTGCTTTATCTCCTACAATTTCCTTCTAATTTCCTTTGTAGACAAAAGTTTTGACCTCAGACTCATTTCTGGAAATCCTTTGTGAAAAGCAGTTCAGGTTAATGCATTAGACAGAGTTTATACAATGTATTTGAAATGTCCTTGTTCCCTTTTAAGAGGTGGAAGGGAAGAATTTCTGTGTTCTAGCTATGCCCTTTGTCACCTTCTTGATGTCCCTTCCCTGGGAGTTTTAGGAAAGGGATTATTGTAGAAAGACAGTATTGAGTTGTTGGTGTTTTGTGTGTGTTTTGTTTGTTTGTTTATTTTTGGGCTTTTTTTTTTTTTGAACTGAAAAAAACACCACCCTCTCAGGACCTAGTGACAGCCAATTTTTTTTTTTCTTATTTTGTTGGCTCACTTTTTGTGTGAGAGGATAACATTTCCTTTTTCCACCTGTGTAAAGTTTTCTGAAAATAGATAGGAGTATCGATACTTTGTGTCATTTCTCTACACTTTGAGACTTTGAATTAAAAAGCAAAGACACTGTGAAATACTTCTCCTTTTGTGGCTTTCCCTGTGCGCTTAGTTCACCTTGTGGAAGCATGGCATTGTCCACGCCAGCCTGAGGTTAGGTTTTGAAAGCTGTAGTTCTTGCAATGGTGAGAAGGGTTGTGGTGTTCTTTTGGTGGTTCCTCCATCCTGGAGAAAAATTCCCTTTTTGTCCAGTTTTGTCTTGAAGGGTTTTCTTTCAGTTGAGCCTCTTTCAGACAGCTGTTTTGGTTCCCTTACACTGCAAGAACTCTTGAGTCTCAAAAGGCAGCAGAAGTAGCTGTCTTTGGAGCATCCGTCTCCTGACATGGTAACTCTTTTCAAGCATTGACCTTAAAGAATTTTCCAGCCTCATCACGTCAACAGAAAAGGTACAGTGTGGGGTAGTGTGTTCCTTGAGTAAGGACACCAAATACAATTTTTTTTTTTGACTTTTTAGAGAGAGAGCTCTCTTTGTGACATGAATTCAGCTACGCTGCCAAGCTGAAAATAACGTCTGCAATTTACAGTGCTTGGTGCTGCAGTAAACAATTTCTAGAGCCAATATAACTGAAAGATTGAAGTGAATACATCTTTCTCAGTTTCCTTCATGCATTTGGCAGTATGTTATATACTCATCTCTTCAGCTGTTTTGATTGTTAGGCAGTGTTCCCTCATCTTTTCTTAGCACTGATACGTGCAGCAAAGCTGCAACTGAACAGGCAGTGGGAAAGAGCGTGCTCAAGGATAAAAGATGAAGGTTGCCTATGAGCATACCTCTCCATTGCTCTTGAGCTTGTCTAATAAACTTTTCCGAACAGGTGGTGAAAGCTTTTTTTTAAGGAATTTAGAGGACGTGTCAAGGAAACTGAATTCCCTAGAGGGGGAAAATCACACATTGACTTGAGTGCCTCCAACTTGTCCTGTGTAAAATAGCGTGAGGAAATATGACAATATGTGCTTGGTGGAGAGAAGGGGTGGGAGGAAGACATTCCTTAGTTGACTGAAGTATTGGGAGGAGAGGGAAGCAAACAAACACTCATACGCTGCTTTTTAACTTCATGCTAAAGCACAGCAGCAGGGGCAGGTATCCAGAAAATAAGCTTTCTCCGTGAAGTAAGTGGGACAAAAAATACCTAAAGCAGTGGTGAATTCTTACTAATCGTTCCTTGATGAGTAGATGTGTCTGTCTGGGCTTAGTGAAGATAAAACAGTGCAAGCATTAACAGGAAATCATATACAAATAGTTTCACTTTGAGTGTGTTCTTTGGATTAGGTTTTTGAACTTTTAACTACACTGTATAAGGAGAGAGTTTAGAATTAAAAAAAAAAAAAAAAAAAAAAAGCTGACTTTCCTTGAGTTTGGAAGGAAGAGAGTTCGGTTTGTAAGCAATTTTTTTTTTTTAAAGGAAAGGAATGCACTTTTTCACTTTGTGCTTTGGTAATTTCACTGGTGGTAACATTCTGCCAGCACATTTGCAGTGGAGCAAAATATATCATCATACCACAAGATCATTCTACTAAGTAATTATATGATAGTGTTTTATAGAATTCTCGATATTGTAATTGCTGTAAGAGAGAACTTGCAAAATTGACCTAGAACGTACAAAGGCCCTTTAAATTCCAAACTGCATAGCTTACGTACATGTGGATATAGGTATTTGTGGCAATTGCTTGTCAGAAGCACAACACGTATGCACTACTACATAAGATTTCAGTTTTCTGGAGGTCTTGAGTTAAATTTAATGCTGTTCATTAAGAGATTTGGGACTTGAGAGGATTCCTTAGGATGCATTTTTTTAAAAGTAAGAGAGCCAGAGTCAGTGGCTGTGGCGGTGCGTTGTGTTAGCGCTAATGTCTGCTGACATGAACTATTTTTTTATATAGGCAGACCGTGAGCTGAATCAGCTTTTGAACAGGTGTTCGGTCCATTTTTATTATTTACTTATATTTTCCCCGAAGCTGGTTTTCAGTTGGATCAACCAGCAGATCCAGCTCACCACGCTGTGGCATGTGAGCATAATTGTGCAGGGAAAGGTGAGACTGCTCCTTGGCAACAGCAGAGGTGTAGATCTCCCCAAGGCAGCTGTGACACAACTGCTGTGCTCCTTTGGCTTTGGCTAACCACACTCCCCCCCTGCCCCCCCCCCAGCTGCCTAAACTTCAGCAATTATTTGATCAGTGTATTATTTCACATTTACATGTAATGATGTTTTGAAAGAGTGCTCTCGCTGGCGCATGCTCTTGCGCATGCATATATGTTCTCTCTCTCTCTCTCCAGCCATACCCTGGTAGTATCCTTCTCAAGCTCTAGGCTTGCGTGTGGCTATCCAGGTTAATGAGTAACAAGGTAGGAATGTTTAACATACCGTGTTCTTGACCGCTGGTGTTAGTCTGTGTTTTGATGAAAGTAACTTTGATGTTTTAAATCAGGAGCGATAGGAAAATGTAACGTGCTTCTTGTTCATGAGCAACACAGAGAAACCCTTTGGTTGTTTAAATAATAATCTGTTAAATATTGTAGCCTCAACTTTGTAGAAATACTTAAGGAAAAAAAAATCTGCTAAACTTTGCACTTCACCTGGTATTGCTGTGAAGGCTTATACACTGTTTGCTATAACTTCCACACTAGCATTCCTATCACACTAGATAGCAGTCCTGTCTGTTGCAAATTGAGGCTACAGCTCAGTGACAATTTAATTTAATCTAAGTCAGCTGCAGCCTCCACCCCCCTTCCCATCCTCTTGATTAGTGATCTTTGTGCTTGCACTTGGCTAATGCTGAGGTGAGCTACTTCAGGGAGCTAGACCAACTGAAACCTAGCACTATAATAAGCGGGTGGTTGAGTGAGTGAGTTTGTTTCGTTTTTCTGTGTCATTCGTCTTCTCCCTCCCTCCTCTCCAGCAGTTTGGACAAGCAAGAGTGGCACTGTAAATGAAGGAGCACTAATATAGGCAGTTATGTGTCAGATGGTCAAGGTAGTGTCAGCTTGGATAGAATTACAGCCCGAACACACACTAATTCTGTTAATATTGATTATTTTCCCACTCTTGCAGTGAAAAGAGAAATGTATACAATGGCATGGATATATTTGGTGGAATGGCATCATATTTTCTGTACGTTACAGCGAGTGGTCATGAACCTAGCTTGTCTGTGGACTATCGGGTGGTTTGGGTTGTGATGATACTTTGGTCCTGGGGAGTTTATTCCTCAGGGCTGATCTGAAATCAGAGGGTCACCTGCACTGATGAGCTGTATGCTTTCCCTTGTGCTAGGTGAGCATAGTTCTGAGTTAGGTCTTTCTCTAGAGCGCTCACTGATGTTTTAGAGATCTTAGGTGCGCTCCCCAGTGGAGACTTACCTCGTGTTTAGAAGCAGTACGAAAGCCTACACAGTGACTGGAGAGCTCAGCTGTGACGTGCTTGTGATAGACTCCTGGCGAGGCCTTTTGTGGTCATAGCTGTAGTGTCTTCATCTCCAAAGACTGCACTGCTGTAGTGCATTTCAGAATTGAGAACTATTTGTTGGAATTCTTTAAAAACTAAATGAACTGGAAAAGTCTCACCAGACTGACCCTTTGCATAAATGAGGTGAAAGAGGTGTGATATGGTGTATGCAAATATTCTAGGGCCTGAAACACATCTTGATATACCAGGTCAAGTTTTATCCTTATATGTGCTGGGGCCATCTCTAATCTTTCAAAATGGTGAGGTCCAAAGTAAATTCTGGATTTCATTGCAGCAGAGAACAGAGAACCAGTAATGCTTTAATTGTAATCCTTAATTCTTTAGCTCTTGGTGACTTACTGAATCTTTAATTTTTCCATTTTATGAAGATAAAGATCTTTGTCTACCCTCAATTTCCTGAAGGTAATTGACGGACTGATGTTTGTAAAGTCTTCTGAAAATGAAAACTATCAATTAATGTGGCATAAATACATTCAAGAAATTGCTGGAGGAAGACGAAGCCTCAAAGTGCTGCAGGTATTCACACACTGGTATTTCACTGAAACCAACAAGGAGGGTCAAAGGTTGAGCTGGACTCAATCCAGACTGAGGGAGACACAGGAAGATACCTAGTACTCTTCCTCCCTGTCCTGTCCGGTGAGGTGTGCAATTGTAGATTCTCGAAGCTGTAGGAATTGCTTGTGCAGGCACACAGAAGTGATGCGTTTATACATGACAGTGCGCAAGTACTTTAATATTGTTTACTAGTCCAAATTTTTCCCTCTCTGTGATGCTGGAAAATTTAAGGATATCCTTTTGCTGTTGCAGCAGTGTTTGTTTTCTTGGATATATCCTCTCAACCCCTACTCCTGGCTGTACTCTAACAGTACTTCCTTGCCAAGAGCCCTCGGGTGGAAGAGGGGAAGCTTGTGTAATTGACACCCACTGGGCTCTTATCTGTAGGAGGTGATAGGTATTTTAAAGGCAGCTGAGTAGCTAAAACCTCCTCTTTACACTGATATGTTTTTTTGGGCAGGGGTTCTGTGTCACTTTCCATAACTTTCAGAGTCTGAAATATTCCAGACTTTATTATGGATCTTTGACCATGGAAATAATAGCTGTGTGTGAACAGAACAGAGGTTGACGGTAAGCAGTGGTGCTAATGAAAAGTTATGTTTGATCTGGCGATTAGGAAGCAGGTAGAATTAATGGAGGGGCATAAGTCATGATGTGCATGAATTTTTCTCTTTTATTGTTATCATTATTATTTTATTCATTAGAAATCCTGTGTTTCAGGAGAGGGGACTAAGATATCCATTGACTTGATTCTTTTGTCTTATAAATAAGTATGGAACGTGAACCAGCAGTGTGCCCTGGCATCAAGGGTCAACAGCATCCTGGGCTGTGTGAATGGGACCACAGCCAAGAGATTGAGGGAAGTGATTATTCTCCTTTAATCAGCACTTGTTAGTCTACATCTAGAGTACCACATGCAGTTTTGCATCCCCCTGCCCCTAAGCATGGGAAAGACACTGACAAACTGGACTGACCTCAGCAGAGGGCCACCGCAGTGGTTGGGGCTGGAGCACTCACCCCAGTAGGAGAGGCTGAGGGAACAGGGCTGGTGCAGCCCAGGGTGGAGGCAGCTGCAGGGGGAACTCACCACAGCCCCACAGCATTGTGGGGAGCCCAGCAAGAAATCAGAGCCAGGGTCTTGACAGCAGCGCGTGGCAGGAGGATGAGAGACTCGGGGACAGAGGCTGAAACAGGAGGAGTTCAGACTGAGTTGAAGGGAAAACTTTCTCACTCCGAGGGCAGTCGGGCAGTGGCTCAGGTCCCCCAGAGAGGTGGTGCAGCCTCCATCCTTGGAGGTTTTCAAGACCTGAGTGGACAAAGCCCTGAGTGACCTAGCCTGAGCTCGCAGCTGACCCTGCTTTGACCAGGATGTTGGGCTGAGACCTCCTAAGCTCCCTTCCTGCCTGGGTGATGCTGTGGTCCTGCGTGGAGGAGTTGGGAACTCCAAGTTGAATGGAGTTAAGGTTAGTCACTTTATTTGGGTGGGGGGGGGGAGGAGAAGAAAAACAGACAGTACAGCTGGCAAAACCTGGGAACTTTGAGGTTGGCCACAAGAATTTGTGGCAGCAAAAGAATAGAGAAAGGCTAATTATTTTTTCTTTCGGGATGGTTGCGGAAAAGTAGGAGACTTCAGTGTGAAAGAGCTGAGCGTTGACAGGGACTTAATTTTCAGAAGAAGCTCACAGGTTTTGCAGGGTGGGAGCACACAAAAGCAAATTAATGCAAGTGCATGCCTACATGCACACACACAGATGTGTGCGTGTGCACAGCAGAAAAGAAAATAATCCTGACATAAAGATTGAGTTGCCTTCACAAAAGTTATAGCATAGTGTTCATGATATGCTTGCAATGAGACGATCAACTCCTGTTGCTTAAAACCGCTGTATAGCGTTATTGCAGTCCACTAACTTACAAATTGCTATAGTCAAAGAACACAGTTACTGAAAACTTGTCATCCAAATATTTATTCTAGCTTTTGATTGTGAAATTACATTTGTTTCCTGTAGATGTTTTTATCTCTTGCCAGTTTAAACTTGTCTTTAGTTGTGAATGAAATGTAACTTTGCTGTTTGTATACCGCAGTATAAAAAACACTTAAAGAGAAAACAGCCTTTGCTTTCCTTTATCAAAAAGAAAAAAGAAGTAATTTTGTTGCTCCAACTACATTTGAAAGGTAAACAATGTCTGATAGGACTTTGGGACTTCATTCTGATTGTTGAATATCTCACATCTCAGTAGTGGCAGTAAAATGTGAGGGGGCTTGGCCCTCGCAAAACTATCTTTTAGTGGCTGTATTGTGGGATATCTTGAAAAGTAATTGAAGAGTGTAGGACTTGTCAATATGGAAAACATAGTCTATACCATCTTGAAAGTTACGAAAAAGACGGGTAGAGAAATGGTTCTTCTAGTAAAAGAACTTGGTGCATCAAACGAAGGTAGCATTGACACCTTCCCCTGCCAAATAACCCAGACCAAAAAAACAAATAAAAGAACTGGAAAACTCCCCCCGTGCCAAAGGAAATAGTTAATCTGTGGAATGCCTGGCCACAGGGTGCTAAATTTCACATGGATCAAAACAGGAATTGAATTTCTGGAATTTATGGAAGAAATAAAAGCAGACCACCACTGCTTCCTGGGGCTGCTGAGCCTACAGATACTGGTTGCTGAGAAAATATTCTGTGGGAGTATTGATATATGCTTGTGCTCTTTCCTGGGTAACAGCTGCTGCTCATAGACTATCTGATTAAAGTATATGAGGCTGTATGGACTAGGTCAGCCATTCTTTTTATGGCTTTTGACTTTTAATCTGTATGCTGTTTTTTAGCAGTACATGAAACATTGCTAAGTCTGTGTAGTCAGAAACTTAAGGATTGTTTGTCAAGGTTGTGCTTTCAGTTTAGGCCTAATCCCCACCCCTCACCCCTTTCTTCCAACTTAAATGTTTGCAAGGGGGACATCACAATAAGGTTTCCTGCCTTGTCTTGAAGCAAAAACCTTGTAAGGCAATGACAATTTAAAAGTCAAAGATATACACTTTTTAAGGCCTGGATGCTTCATTTAAAAACCAACTTCCTCAGGCAGGTTCTCTGATTAGGCTTGATAAGATAAGTTTTTAGAAGTTTTATTTGGTTCCCTCCCCCCCACCCCCCACCCCAAACAAAAGGAAAATCTGGGCAAATTCTCAAATCTTTCATTCCAGATAAGTTTGTAACTTGAGGTGTAATGAATGGGATCTTGATAGGGAGGTTTATCAAACTTAAAAATGTTTCTTGCAGAACTATGGTCTTGAAACAGACAACATGAAGAATTTGGTTCTTAAACTGCGAGCGTCATCCAATAATCTCCAGAATTACATCAGCAGCCGAAGGAAAAGTTCAAATTATGATGGGAATACCTCACGCAAGCCCCCCAATGAATTCCTTACATCTGTGGTGGAGCTTATCGGGGCTGCTAAAGCCTTGCTTGCATGGTTGGACAGGTAAGAATAAAGTCTTTATATTTTCATTTACTGCTATGATCAATTATTTCTCCTTGCCAGGCAATTTCTAGCTGCTTGAGTGTAAAGACATGCTTGGTAGCTTTCCACTTTTGTGTGTGTGTGTGTGTGTGCGCACGCATGCTAGAAGGCCTCTAGTGAACCAATTTAATCATCTAGGGTATCTACTCCTGTGCTTCCACCTTTGCTAGAATCAATGAAATTAAGATTGTATCTAAACTAGTATTTACAAAGGTGGGACTCTTCCCCTTCAGGGAAGATGATCTATTTTTAAGCCATGTTTCTTAAATCCGTGACTACTTCCTCTCTTCTTCCCACCTTCTAAATCGATTGTCATCAGCAGATCCCTTTTTAAAAGAAATTGTGATCTTAGCTCCATTATTTGAAAAACTGAGCAGCAGAAGAGACTCTCCTTCTGCCTTTTTTTTTTTCTTTTCCTCTGGCAAGAGCAGGAGTTGTTCTGTGACAGCTGCAGCGGAAGCGAGCAGGCAACAGAGCTGATAGTGTTCTGGCCGTGATGCTGGACAGGGTAATGGATGGGCCTAAATTGTCAAGCCCTTTGCCAGCTTTCCTGGGAAGGAAGGTTAGGAGGAGAGCTGCGTGAGGACTGTCAGCAAGGAGAGATTTTATCCTGGAACTTTCCTGCCTTCCAGCTAAGAATTGGTTCTATTTCCTGCCAATGACATTTAACAGCTTGTGCCTCTCACCTGGTCTTCTCCTGTGTACCCTGTTACCAGCAGCTGACCCTAGAATTTTGTCTCGTTACAGGGCCCCATTTACAGGTATTGCTGACTTTTCCTCAATGAAGAACAGAATCATTCAGCTGTGCTTGGATCTCACTACTACTGTTCAGAAGGTCAGCTGACTTCTTTTCCCCTTTACTTTCCAAAAGGGAAGGAAGGTGGGTGTTTGGGAAGTAACTGTGCTAGCTGTGTGCAGAGTACAAATTGGAAGACGGATACGGAACTGTGAGCTTCCTTCAAGCCTGAACAAGTCTGTGAAGGTCGTTTCACTTGCCCCGTTTTTCTGAGGTTGGGTTTTTTGTTCATTTAGTTTCAATTTTGCTGTTGCTAGCTGCTTCTGAAGTACTACCGTTTTATGTTTTTTTGAGCTTTACTGAGAAGACACTTAGATTTTTTGGAATGGTTGCTCTGCATTTGAGAATTGTCAACTTCCAAACAGCAAGTTTTAAAAAAAAAATGTCACCAGTGTTAATTCTAATAAATATAATTGCAATCCAAATTACTCTGGCTGCTATATCCATACTCGCAAACTTTTTAGGTCTTTTTGTCCCATACATAGTATTGCAGCTTTCAGATGAAAAATGCTGCATGTAATGTAAGGAGCTGCCGCCTTTATCATATGAATCTTAATTGTGCTTGTGCAGCCCAGCAGTGTGGGACCATGGCGCTGTGTTTCAAAACTTCCTATTTATCAGTTGTATGATGAATACTCAGTTTGGGAATAGCTAAAAGGGTGCATAGCACCTATGTGACTCTTGGCAAACTGTGTCATTTTGTTCTCTGAGTAATACTGCCCGGCTTCTAAACCGTTCTGACCATATGCTGCTGCTTTGACGAGGTACCACAATATGCATGCTTCACCTCCTGCAGAATTTGCACAAAGCTATCAGTGCATGGCTATATAGTTGTTAAAACTTTGAAGAAACATGTCCTGTGAAGTAGGTCGTTCCCTCCCTCCCTTTTTTGGGATGAAGTCAAAGGACAGAGAAGTCGTGTGAGCTGCCAAGCTGTGGTGACACCCAATTATACACACTGGATTGTAAAAGAATAGTGACTGGATACTGTAATTTTAAAGGCACACAAGTTTGGCTTATTGCTGATTTTCCTGTCTTCCTTGGGCACTGCATGCACAATTGTAGAAAGTCAGTGATTTACAGTTGCAGATTTGTGAAGCAGAACAGTAAGCGTTTCCAGTACCAGATGGTGTTCACCCAAGAGCTCTACAGGAACTGAGATATGAAATTGATGAACTGTATTAATACAACTACTAAAAATGGTGTCTAATCTGTCAGTTAAATCAGCCTTTGATGGCAGTGGAATGGAAGTTGGCAAACGCAACCCTCGCATTTTACAAAAGCATCAGAATACTTCTCTGCCAATTTGGTAGGAGCTATAACAAAGAATGGAATTGTTGTGTGTGAGGGGAGGAAAAACAAAAACATTCATAGGGGAAGAATCAGCACTGCTTCATACTGGGACCCTGCAAATGAATTAGAATTATCTGAAAATCCACTGACATATGGAAAAGAGAGACCCAATTGATAAGACTTAGATGAATTTTTAAATGTTAAAGCTTTTAAGTCTTATTAGGAAATATAGTATAGAAAATAACTGGTCAATGCTCACGGCAGAGAAGAGAGCAGTATGGCTCTCATGAGACCTATGCTGCTCTGCATAATCATGAATGATATGTAAAAAGGAGCGAGTAGTAAGGTCAGAGTGGAAGACAGTAAGATTCCACTTCACTTCAATGACAGCAGTAAGATGCAAGGAACAGGGTTTAGTCCACTGTTTTTATAAAACGAAGTTTTATGGCATACTTTGATGCAGATAAAATAACAAGCGGTGTAAATGAAACTGAAGAGGTGCAGAAGGATCTTGCAGCACTAAGCAAATGGGCTGCATAATGATAGATGACATTCACTACTGATTAACGCAGATGAGTTTAGCAGAGGAAAAAAATGCTGATCCACAGTGATGGAGTCTAAATTTAGTATTAGTGTTCAGGAAAGATTTTGAAGCATTTGATGGTAAGCTGTAGAAAATGTGACGTCAGTCCTTAGTGGTCATCACGACAGTGAATAGGTTGCTAAGTGTTACTGTGAAAACATAGCTGTGCTATTTTATATATCCTTAGCATGTCCATATTTGGAGGCTTATATGCTTTTCTGGTCTTCTGTCTTAAAAAGCACAACATAGGCCAGTAAGGGAACAGAAGAGGCTTCAAGAATGATCAGAGGTATGGGACAGCTTCAGTTCACAGCTCCTAAGTGTAGCTCTCAGGCATTGTGTGGTAGTTATGCAGGTTGAGATGTTAATGTCCAATATTTTGGAATTTCAGATGGTTTAAATGCTTAGGCTTGAGTTTTTTCATCTTTTAAATATTGTAAATCTTTTTTCATTATTTTCCTACTGTTTTAACTTTTTAATCTGGGAATCTAATACCATTCTCTAGTTCAGTTGCTCTTACAGAGAACAATGACTACTTCTGTATTCTGTTAACTGAACTTGTTTCAGTTCAAAGACTTTTGTACCTGAGCTGTGTAAATAATGCTTTGTGTGCAGTCCTCTCGCCTTCATGAATGTCATCAATAGCATATTTTTAAAATCACTTCCTATACTATTTTGATAAATATATTTTAAATCCATTTGGATGTCTTGCATAGAAGGAGTGCCTGAATCAGTGTTTATAATGGGTAAGGAAAGATTGTGTGCCTAGCCTTTTCAAAGTCTAGTTTTATTGTGCACAGCTCTGCTTTTCTGCAAAAGTCTGCTTCTGTAATTGAATGCCATGTCCCCTTAGTTTTAAAGGTTTATTACTGCTTTCTACCGGGGCCAGAAAACTGTTGTTTAATAGTACAGTTGAGCCCTACCAGGTGATACTAATCTGATTAATCCCTGCGGCATGAATAACTCTATTTCAGATCAAGGTTGAGGTGGGTTTTTTTGTTTTTTGTTTTGTTTTAGGATTGCACTGTGGCTGACATGGAAGATAAAGTTCAAACTGTAGTAAGTATACCTTTCTGTTGAAATTCAACTGCGTGCGTTCACGTTTTTAATGGCTTTGACACTAACTGTACTGACAATGTAGTCAGTACAGTCCTTGTGCATCACTGCCGTAAAACATCTATATGGGTTATTTTATGAACACTTTTTACTGTAGAAGAAAATAATGAAATTTGTGAATCAGTGGGTAGTGTGTATACAGCACTAGGACAGGCATTCCTTAAACTTCCATTGCATAGCTACTTTTTATCAAGAGAATGTAGACTTCAAACTTTAAAAGGAGGGTAGTATTATGGAATGATAGTAGGCTAAATAAACCAGCTTGCCTGTAATGTGCATCATGAGACATTTAGTGCCTTCATAAGTACCTACTATGCCTTATTATGATCCTTCTTGTAAAAGGACCGTCCTGCCCACAGAACTAAAGTTCTGTGTCTAATTGTACTTGAGCCTGAAAGATCCATTTTCAAAATTGTTTGAAGCAGGCTTGTGACCAAATGAGGAACGTAATGGAATGCTTTTTATATTTTGTAACAGTTAATCATCGCTTCCTGCTTTTGACATGAACCAGGCTGTGCTCTTTGATAAGGCCTTCCGCTAGCTCATAGATGCTTAGGAATTTAGTAGCACAATAACTAAAAATAATTTGGTCCATAAATAATGAGACCACGTAAAAGGGAATTTTTTTGCTTCTTTCTTTTTTCCTTTTATGCACACCCACTCTGGAATAGGTATTGTTTGGAAATCCCTTGTTTGAGCAGTTCCTCCTATTCACACTTAAGTATTGTTTTGATTTATTTTATTGCTGCTCTACAAATCTGATTTAAAACAAAGCAAAAAGAATCGTTGGAACTGTTGTTTCCAGGGACCATTGTGATCCCAGAGAACTGTCTTTCTACAGGACAGCTTCCCCCACCCGCACTGCTCCTTAGTTGCATGTCTGTATTGAATGAAGAATTCTAATCCCCTTGTGGAAGTGGCTTACCTTGCTGGTTCCCAAACAGATTATAAATAACTAATCTATTGTGTACTAAACCTCCCTCTCCTCTCCTTTTAGTTTTTGTAAGCTACTTTGAGTTTCAGTATTGCTTCAGTTAACATCAAGACCCAAAACACACTGTGGGGCATTAGTGAAATTTGTGAGTAGGGAAGCCACAGATTTTTGGACTACTTTTTTTTTTTTTTTTTTTCCCCTAAACAATTAGCCATTCTGATACTTAAAGGGAGAACAGATACGTCTTTTAAAACTTGTCTTTACTGACATGCCCAAAAGGTCAGAATCGGTCTTTAGTTATAATGCTGGCTTAGGATCAATTATGTTTTGGTCTCAAAAGAAATATGAACCTTGCACGCGTAAGCATTCCAGAAGAGGTCAGCTCAGAGCTCACAAAGGAGAGAAGCAACACTGAAATGCTTAAATGCTAGATGTCTTACCTTATAGTATAAAGCTTTATGCAGATAAGTCAGTGGTCAGCACTGGCATTTTTAATGACACGTGGCCTTCTTTGTTCTCCTAGTAAAAATAAAGAACGATATGAAAAATTGTCAGTTGTTGCCACAAGGAATCCTTAAAATATTTGATTATTTTAATGGGTTTTGCTTTGCCAAAACATAGCAAACCCAATATTTTGCTGTATTTTAAACACAGGATGCATTGGCACCTGTCAGTGAGTTGGTGCTAGTGGAAGTAGATTGTCTGTCCTGTAGGAAGATAAGCATGCCGTAGATGATATCTGTACAAATGAATCTTCTGTTTCACTATATCTTAACTTCACTGTATTGGTGGACCAAGTTTTAGAACTAACTTCCTTTCCATTACTGAAAACTAAAAGAGGAAGAAGCTGGAAGAGAACTTCTGAAACAATTTTGTGTGTGTTCTCATTGCAGTCGAAGACTTTAAATGGAATTTGTGATAAAGCCATCCGATCAACTACAGACCCGTTAATGAGCCAGTGTGCTTGTCTGGAAGAGGTTCATTTAACCAACATTAAACCTGGGGAAGGCCTGGTAAGAACCAGTCTTGGAGTGTCCTGATGTCCCCAGTGTTGATAGGTACTCCTGCAAGCTGCTGTGTACATGAGTATAGCTGTATATTTCAGAACCATGAGTGTCCTCTGGGGAATAGCAAGAGGTGTGGGGGGGAACCCCGAAGGATAAATATCAGGGCGTCAGGGGTTGGGGAGAAGTTTATTTTTGAGTGACACATTTTTGTTTATAGCAGAGGTCTGCTGTTAGCAGGAATATGAGAAATCCTTTTAACTCTTCAGTGGCTGTGTATTGGACGTTGTTTCTTGCACAACTAAGCATGGTAACTTCAGACAGATAAGTTGCACGTGACTGCTGAATAACACTCCAATCCTGTACAACACAGTATGAAAACTTTTAACAACAGAAGTAGATAGGAATAGTAAAGAGATGTTGTAGTTGTTCATAAATGAGGAAACCAGTGTATTGGTCACCTTTTCAGGGGAAATCTGTCACATGTAATTATTAATTAACAGCTTGTTGATGATCTTATTTAGTGTTCATATGATCAGCACTTACTTCATCTGCATTTGTGCTTACATTCACACTCAGCATTACCAAGAGAGCCACAAATATTTAGTTCTGCTAGAGCTTTTATTGCTTATGTCAGAATTGTGGTTATGAGGTAATTTGTATTTTGACTTGCTAACAAGTGCAAAAGAACGTGTATAAAATATTTGTAGTCCACCTGTGTAAATGTGCTTTGTATGGAAAAAAGTTGGCCATCTAGTAGAACCTGTAATGCCCTACTGCAGAAAGAGCAGTAAGGAAGTTGAAGCTTTATTCAAGGCCAAAAGCTGAAAAGGCAGCAAAACCAAGGTTAGAAACAGTACTTCTAAACTGCATTCTATGTTGTAATGTATTGAATTTTTTTTTAAGATAAATTATTATTACAATAAAAGGTGATCTGTGAAAAATAAATATTTCAGTTGTTTTCATAACTGCAAAATTCTCAATGCCATAAATTAGAAAAATGCTGAGCTGTAAAATGTTCTGATACTAGTTTGCATAGTTTTTTCTAGGGAAAATTTATGAATTTTTAAAGATAATAACTCTTAATAATTTTTTAATTATTAATAATAATTTTTAATAACTGAGTCTGAACTGCTTAATCAGATCTGTTGCATAGCTTTTTTTAAATTTTTTTTAATTTTAAATTTGTTTTTCATTTTCTACTTATACTAGGGAATGTACATCAAATCAACTTATGATGGATTGCATGTAATTACTGGAACTACAGAAAATGTAAGTGAAGTTAATGTAGGTTAACTGCCTACATTCAGGCTATCTGAATGTAATTTTGGTAAAGTTCGAGTCCCCCTTTTTTTCCCTCACTACTTTTTTTTATTTTGTATCTGACTGTCAAGGTACTGCTGCTTTAAATACTGTATGATGTATCAGTGGTTTATCCAGAATTTGTAAATATTTTGTGTCTGAATGTTTTACTATTAGTCTAATTAAACCAGTTCATGTAAATACATGAAATGTTTGGTGTTAAAATAATTACTTTAATGAATTACTGCATCTGCTGTTTTGAGAGCTTATGGTTATCTTGCTTAACAAAGTCTGGAAGTGTTCGTTTGCTCTCCTCTTCCAAAAAGAAACTTGTCCTAATAGGAATATTTAAGCAGCAATGTATTATATTCAGTAATGAGTAGTGAAATCAATGAGCTGCCCAGTGACAAGATTACTGTGCAGGGTGGAGAAAAAAAAAAAAAAATTACAAAAAGTAAGAGTTTAGGAGCAGTGTGCTGGAGGGAAATGGTCAGCATGTTAGGCAGTGGAATTCTTTTTACTTCTTTTGCCGCAGATGGGTATTTGTTTTATTGTCTGTAGCTGAAACTTTTATTAAAGACTTTTTTACAGAAGTTAGCACAGTGAACCTCTGGTCTGTGATTGAGGCTGGTAGATGATACTGTAACATTGTCAGTAATGCCGCTGTGCAAGAGCAGAGGCTGAAAGAAAAAGTTGCTGAGGAACGTGGCAGTGATTCCTTATTTATTTATTTATTTATTTGGGTAAATAGAAAAGAACTAGTGGTTCTAGTTGTATGCTTGCCAGCTCAAGGGGCTGGAGAGGAGAGGGTGGAAATCTATGCCTGCGGTTAATAGCGAAAACTGAAAGCTTTTATAGCTGACGGTTTATAATGCTGTTGGCCTGGCATAACTCAATATAGGGTCTGAAATACAGACCAAGTCCACTTTGAGGGCAATTTCAACATCTGATAAATATGAAAGAATGCAACATTGACTGCCGCCAAACTCCCTGTGCATATAGATTTCATTTTGGAGGCCGTAAGCAGGGTTGTGTTGCTTGTGTAGCTCTGAGCATTAACTGAAGCCCTAAACTTCAGCTTGTGTATAAATACTGCTGCTTCTTTTGGGGAAACTGTTCTCTTTGGAAAAAGAAAACTTAAGAAGCAGCTGAGAGAACTGCAAATAATTGGTGTCTTTCTGAGGGCATGGGATCGTTTCGATCAGGCTGGGCCATAGCTTCATTTTCTTTTTAACTTTGGAATGGCATTTTAGTAGCTATCTCGAAAAGCCCATCTGTTGCAACACAGCAGAATTGCATCTGGAAATTGTCAGTACTGCACATTAAAAGGACAGGGAAGGTCCATGTATTTGACGCCAGGTGGCTATGAGGATTCCTGAGTTCGGTGTCCCTGGTTGTGACTTCCTGCATCACGTTGGCCTGGATCTAAACTTTGCTCTTTTCTCCGTTCTCCCAATACGATTGCAGCATCTACTGTGTTAGTTGGCACTTGTTATAGAAGCTCTCTGTCTGAGAGTCCCCACCCTCCTGCACTCGGGCTGTTGATCACCCAAAGGACAGCTTGAAACGAGCGTTGTTTTCCACAAACGTAGCTGTGGCCCAGAATATTTCATAGTCTTCTTTGAATCATGTATACACAGCCCTCTACAGAGGCATTTCCTTGCAAAGGAAGCAAGAAGACAATGAAGAAATGGGGTTACTCATTATAACTGGAACCTCCCACAAATTCCCCCACGTCTTCCTATATTGCATAGTTTATTCCTGCAGTTCCTTCTAATAAAAATGTTGCTTCAGTTCTGAAGGTGTGGTAATGAGGGGAGTCCTTAGTCTCAATGGCTAATTCTGCAGTCACTGGGAAGAATTGGCCTGCTACCGGATAGTTACTAGGTGGACTGGGGGAAATGGGAGTAGTTTTGGTTGTGATTAGTATCCCTGCAGTTTACTAGGCTAGTATGCCTGTGCAGTTCGTGTGTTGCCAGGGCTGTTCAGAGTTGGTGTGTTATGGCAGCAAGACTGTTTTTTAGTAACTGCAGGAATAGCTGGTGCATGGTACCAGCAGTAGCTAAATCTAGGTAAGCGTTGACACACATCAGTGTTCCTTCATAATAATCCCCAGAGGGTGCTTTTTTGATTCAAGAAAAAAAGTGTTTTAAGGTGTTTTTCAGTATGTAGCTAAGCACATGTGATGTGTGCAAACATGTATTTTATCCATTGACCTTGATAATGCAGGCAGATAACTTCATGTTAAAGTTGGCAGCTCTTGTTTACATTAGGAAACAGCAAAGCAAAGGGAAATGGTCCTCTTTTGTGGGTTGGAGGGTCTTTGCTCCTGTCAGGTCCATTGTAAACCTTAGTGTATTTTTTTGTTAAATGTATACTAATTAAGCTAGTCACTGTGTTAGGGACAGCAGTCTTCTCTTTAGTTGTCTCCCACTACTGTGTGAAGCTACAGTACAAATTGGAGGTAAAGGACAGCAAAGACAGTGCCACGTTCCAAGTACAGTTTGGCCTGTGACGTGTGGAGGCTATGTCATCTTCTCCCCTTCCTTTCAGTTCCTGCAGTATCAAAAACAAATCATAAGGTGCGTTTGTTTGCATTTATCAAGTCATCTATGGATAGAATGTAGCTCTGTGTGATACTGCTGCACAGAGAGTTTCAGTGATGCTCTTGTTATATCCACAACCTTCACCTTAACTTAGGGGGGACATTATGGGAGGGCATAAAACCTATTGAAACATGTGCCTCTTGTTTTCTGTTTGGCAGTCCCCTGCTGATCGATCTCAGAAGATTCATGCTGGTGATGAAGTGATCCAGGTTAATCGGCAAACTGTGGTTAGTAATAAGTTGCCTTATCAACCTTTCCTTATGCTTGTTTTGTAAAGCTCTTTTCTCAGAGGATCGAAATGGATAACAGCTTTATTGCATATGGATTCTTCTGTTGTTTTTCTGTTGGCATTTTTTAGGTATTTTTAACACTCTATTTTCAAGTCAAATTTTACTTAGATTTAACATTTATTCTCTTATTATTTTTCTTAATTCTTGCAGTATTTCATTTATTGTGCTTATAGCATTTATTAAAATCTTCCACCTTGCAGTTAATGCATTTTGTAAAATGCCCTATTGCAATCTACAGGAATGATACAAAGTCAACTTAAAAATCAAGTATTCTTCAAATAGTATGCACTTGGGAACTTAAAGTGATTACATTTATACTTAACATAGATAAGCAATTTCTTTTTAATGTTAGGAAGAAACATCACTAAAGTATTTCACTGTGAACAGCTGTGTTACTCAATTTGAGCAGATTCCTGCATCCTTCTAGGACAGGAGGTGAGGTACAAACAGCAGTGCTCAAAATCTGTGTTTAATCTTATTCTTAAACATGTCTCTTTCTTCAAAACAAAAGACTTCTCAAGAAAGGAGGTCCAAAAAGTTTTGTTCTCCCCCCAGATTTTATCTTCATTATAGCTTTTTTGGATCTCTTTTCTCTCTTTAGGTTCATGGAAAAGCAGACAGTTTGATCTGGCTGTTTCAGAAAAGTGACACCAAATATCTTTATTCTCTTCAAGGTGGGATGGCAACTAAAAAATCTGGTAGGAAAGTTGCGAGAGAATCCTGCTGGAGTTAGGCTGCTGCTTAAGAAACGGCCCAGTGGCTCTTTCAATTTCACTCCTGCTCCGCTGAAGAACCTGCGCTGGAAACCACCCCTAGTGCAGGTGAAAGATTGCTGGCACAACTGTGCCGGCTGTAATGCCTGGGTGCGAATGCCTTGGTTTTGAACCTGAAAGAGGGAAATACCAAAAATGCTCCCTGTGACTGATGAATTAAGTATAGGTAGAGGAAACTTTTATGTGAAACCGCTGTCCTTTTCAGGTTCATGGTACAATGTGGAAATGTTTCTCCTTTTTTACCCGGATAATACCCTCTTGTTACACAAAGGGTGTATCAAGGGTGTAGGTGTGTTGAGCATTTTAATCAGTCACTGTGCTACTGATCTTGGAGAGAACTTATCTGAGGCAAAGCTGCTGATATGTATGGAATTCATCAGCGTGGAGTAGTAACTGCTTTCTCCGTTTTAACAGTGGTAGAGTTTTGCTGAAATAGGTTATTCAGTGTGTTCATTCTCTTGTTAATCTGGTGAAGGGCGGGGAAAAAGTTTTTCTTTTCAAGAAGATATTCAAACTACTTGTGTGAACAAGATTTGGATGTTGGGTAATTCATAGATTAGGTAATAAGTAGATGGAGAAGCTGAAGTTAGTAACTCTTGAATAACCATTTTGAGGAATGGCATGTTACATGAGGAGGCGTAGGGCTTCATACTTACAGGAGGAAATAACCTAACTGAATCTAAGCTGATTACCTGAAACTCTGGGAGCTTAAAAGTAAGCAACAAAGAGCAAAATGGCAAATTTGTTCAGATGAGCAATACCAATTTATTTTTGCTTAGCTTCCCTTACCCTAGTCATTTCACTTGATGCAATTTGTGATGAACTTCATTGTATTCCTGCCTGTGCGCGTGTCCTAGGCATTAGGCTGTATGGAAGTGAGCTGGCTTTCTAAGAGTTGGAGATCATATGTGTATTTAACATAGTGCACTATTTTAATGGGTCTGAAAACAGAAAAAGGTGTTTTATCTGTTTTCTATGTATGGAATTTACAGGAAAAACAGAACTGGAAAGACCAAAATATTCCTTTAGGTAATGCGTTACCTGTGATAGGATTTATATAGAAAGAACTGCAACGATAGCCAAACCTGGGGATAGAGAAAACTGTAAATGCTATGGGATTTTCTTACATATTTATTAAACAAGAATACCTATAGTAAATCTGTAGCAGATGAAATACGGTACTATTGATGATTGAATTAGCTGTTTTGTGAGTCAAAAATCAGTGCTCAGAAGTTTGAGAGTTGTCTGATATTTTCAGACCAGTCCTCCACCAACTTCAACGCAGTCACCAGAAAGCACCATGGATTCCTCACTGAAAAAAGAGAAGCCAGCCATTTTGGATCTCTACATACCACCTCCACCAGCTGTTCCATATTCTCCTCGGTATGCAAGTAAACATGTACTGCTGAACAAAAAACTCCTTTATTACACTTGTTTCTGAGCTGGCTTGCTTTTAGAGCTCTGTGTAAATTAGCTTGAAGAAGTTGCAAATTTCACAGACTTTCTTATGGTTGCTCAAATGCCCAAGTTTTGTTTAAGCTTATGCTTCAGTACATAACATACCAAGATTATAATAGTAGATTTCATTGTTGGAAGATTGTATGCCGTCTAGGTCAGAGTTGTTCCCAAAGCATTAGTGGATGTCATCCCTTGTTTTGTTGTGGGGTTATGTTTTTGCTTTTGTTTTTAAGTTGAATTGCACATAACAAAAAGTCATTTTGTCTGTAATTTTTCCCAGTGCTGTTTTTACCAAGTTTAGTACCTGTTGTGATAGTTAGGATAGAAAAGAATTCTCATTAAGTTGTTAAATGTGTAAATTATATAAAACAAAAGTGTTCCCATTAAAGGGAAGGGAGAGTCAATTCACTCAGCTTTATTTTTTTCCAACAATGCAAAATACAAAAATGCAGACCTGTGTATACAAAGGGGAGAGGATATGGTACGGCTAGCTTTTGTTTGTTCTTGACTTCTTGTTGACTGATGCCCGAAGCTTGTCAGCTGACCTGAGGAGGCCAAAGGACAAAAGAGTTTTCAGGCAGGGGATGCCTCCTGAACTGCCCTGGCACTTCGTGTGCATGTAGATAGCCCAGCACAAAAAGTTGGCTCACCTTCTGCTGCAAGACTCGCATGGGATGACAACTGTCACGTGTGCTGTGGATTTAAGGCCTGCCGGAGAACTGGAGATGCTTCAGGGAAGTCTGGCAGGTCTCCAAAGCAGGATCACTTTGCTGAAGTTGGACCCACCCTGACTTGATCTTTCCCTGTTTTTCATGTTTATGCATGAGAACCGCTGTGGATGCTCAGTTCTTGAAAATCAATGTCTTTGCTAAAAACAAGTATATAGATTTAGCAGCTGAATTTAGTATGCTTTCATCTTTACATTGTTAAATTTCAAGGACTTTGGTGAACTATGTGCCTGTGGTCAGTTTCTTTAAAATTTTCTGATTCTTTAGGAAATATCTAGCGTCAATTACCTTCAGACCTGAGTCCTTGCCGGCAGGGAAGGAAGTGGCAATGTGCTTTGCAAAGCTGAAACAATTGTTCTGGATGATACAGGGAAATACAGTGGCTCATGGGCAATATTTCTTGACTTTAATTTTAAGAAAGCATATATGAGAAGCTGTTTTCACCAGAAGCAGGAAGAAAGGCAGTATTCTCACTTTTTTTTGGCTGTGTAATCTCAGCTTTGCAAGTTTTGCTCTTCTCTTAGAACTGTGATGCATTTGTGTGGTCATTTTTTCCATCATTCTGTTCTTCCTGGCGTGGACCTTCTCTGATGCAGTACTTAATGCTGGCATTAAGGAGGCAACAAGTGTCTCCTCTCCCTAAGACACGGTCTGCACGTGGTGATGGTGTAGTAGAGCTCTCCACTTACGTGTGGCTGTGGTGTGACAGTTCTATGTAATTTGCAGCCTCTGAATTTCCATAAATAGCTCCATCCCATTCACTGAGTTCTAACATTGGTCTTGATGGCGAGCTGGAAAAAATTATATGCATTGGCCAGGTGGATGTTGTGAATACGGGGGTTGTACGCGCTCAAGAGTCAGGTGTTTGTTTTTATGTCAGACTTGGCTGATGGTTGCTTCAAGCAATAAGATCATAGCACTTACAGAAGAGGGGGAAAAGCGGGACAAATCTTAACTTAAAGGGAATTTTTTCTTCTGAAAGTAGTAACATGGTTCTGAAAATGGTTGTTCCTGGCACTTGTGAATGAGAGCTTGCTCTGGGAAGGGAGTTCCTGCAGAAATCACTCAAATTATGTGTGTGTACACTGAGTTCATTACTGAAGCTTCCAAGGGGTCTCAATTCTGGATGGAGAAAAGACGATGATTAAGCGTTTGGGCTTTTTATAATGACTGAAAAGCATAGTCCCTTAGATGGGTGTATATATATGATACGTAGATGGATTAAACCCATCTACACACTCCTGTCAGAACTGTGTACCTAGGATGTAGTGAATTGAGGGCTTGGATATCCTTAGGGCTGAAAGGTTTCTCATTCCGCAAGAGGTTTTTTAGGAGTGGTACGTAAACCTCTAAACTTCCTGTGTGTTGCGTTACTGGCTTATTAAAGGTGTGTGTGAGTATGAGGGGGTGGCTTTTTCTCCTTGATGAATATGTTTAATGAAGTCTTCCATCACCTGACATGTTTTTTCTTCAGCTTTTATTCAGTTTGCTTGCAGAACAATGGCAATTGGTGAGGAGCATGACTGTGGGCTAGAAATATCTTTCAAGCATACTCATGTCTGTAGTGTGAAACTCTGAAGTCACTAATTGAAGTAAAATGTCCTTTCAGAGATGAAAAGGGGAGTTTTGTTTATGGCGGAGGCAACAAACCCAGTCTGCCGCTACCTGGGTCCAAGGGTGCCGAATCTCCCAATTCTTTTCTGGATCAGGAGAGTCGAAGGCGAAGGTTTACTATTGCTGATTCTGATCAGTTGCCTGGATATCCCGTGGAAGCAAATATACGACCAACCAAGATGAGGGAAAAAACACAGTCCTATGGTGAGTTCATTCCTCTTTCATTATTACTGTTCTGACTCTATAAATTTGTCAATCCGTTTGGAATGTTTTGCCTGAGAGAACTGCTTGCTAGACTTGTTCAGCGTTAGGGGTAGTCTGTAGGAGATGTGAACGTGAATGAAATTGTACATCTGAAATAATTTAAGTTCAACGTTGTTGTTCTTTAATGAATGCCCTTCAGTTGGGCTGTGGTGCCACAGTTGTCCGTTTCCATGTGTGTCTCGGTTAGAAGTTTGGGTCACTGTGTTCGCTGGAGTGGGAGATGAATAAGAGCGTGCCTATTCGATCTCAACAGAATGTGCTCTTGTTTTACAAGTCAAAGTATCTTGAAAGAATTTTTTCCGCAAGCATAACTCCTTATTGCTGTATCTCTCTCCCTGATTATTGTGTATAGTACTGATTTAAATGTTAGCTTCCTAAACTTAGTGCAATTCCCTCATAACCTTCTCCATGTTGCCTTTAGGAAAACCTCGTCCTCTGTCAATGCCTGCTGATGGGAGCTGGATAGGAGCTGCAGAACCCTTCTCAAGGCCCCGAGCACCAGGGAGAAAAGGCAAGATTTGAGCCTCATCCCCCTTTCTCTATCTTTCTCCTTCCCAAAGCTGTTGGGATGAATGGAACAAAAATGTGTAAATTAAGAATGAGGGATTGGATTGCTGTTTGCGTATCACTGAACTGATCGAAGATGATGCTTGTTGTTTGTAACAGGCATGCCAGGCAGTAGTTGTGGAACTTGTGAGCCTATTCAGTGCTGGGGTTGAAACTTGTTTTCTGTCTTAGAATTCATGTAAGTGTTAAAAGAAGTCCACAGTGACTGAGGCAGATCTGTACTTGCCTTTTTATACAACGCCTTTTACCATTTTGCTCTTGTGTGCACACACACCCTTTCTTCTCTCTCCTGCATTTAATATTGATCATAAAACCTTTTTTGATCAGTCTTTGTTTGCTTAGTCTACCCTAGGGGCTGTCTTAGAAGCAAGTTTGTTCTCAGAAGTGAAATACAGAGCCTTTTAGGAGTTTCTTTTTACTGCAACTGCTGTTGCTGAAGCATCAACCTGGAGGGATATTAGAAACAGTCTAATTAATAAGTCCAACAGAGTGATCACCAGGTGGCAGGGCTACTCTTTTTTCTTTCTTTTTTTTTTTTTTTTGACTTGATATGAACTTTGTATGTGAACTATGTTGGGTCAGGACAAAGGTCCGTCTAGCCTGGTATCATGGCCCTAGTAACAGCTGCAGGCAGGTGCCTAAGAATAAAAAAAGAGCAAGCATCACAAATCAGTGATCAAAAACCAGGGAAGTACTTGCATCTTTATCTGCAGAGTTGATTTCTGTTGTCCAGAGTATCACTGTAGCTTTTAAGGTAATCATGAGTCACATGGAAGTAAACGTGGCTTCAACTCTTGTCTCTCAGCAGCTTGAATGAAACATGCTACAAGGAGGTTTATTAGATGTGACTCATGGTAGTGATTTGCATGAAACTAATCTGTACTAGCAGTTTTGGTGTGTGTGACACTGGAATTACGTATCAAATATTATTCTCTGTGTGAATTTGTTTTGTTCGTATTGTGTTGCATTAAAAAAAAAAAAACTAAAAAAGCTATAAGTTTATTGACAGCTAGACTCCTGGAATCTGTGTCCAGGAGTGTTACAAAAGATAACTAGAGTCTGGGAAGTGCCTTTAGAAACACTGAAGGGCGTTATGAAAATAGAAAATACTAATGAAGTAATGGATTCCCTTGAAGCCAACAGTAACACCCCCCCCCCCTTCCTGTTCACACAGGTGCAACTGCCTTCTGCGGGTACTTCAGTAACGAAAGAATACCCCCAATCATTGAAGAAAGCCCCTCGTCACAACATCCCTTTTCAAGGCCAGCATCTGAAAAGCAGTTAGTGAGAGGAACGGATTATATTCGAGGCAGCAGATGTTTTATGAATACAGACCTCCACAACAGTGCAACAATTCCTTTTCAAGAGGAAGGTGCTAAAAAAACCTCTGTTACATCATCCACAAAATCTTCCTCCACAGAGCCCTCACTGCTGGTCAGTTGGATCACGAGACTTAAATTGTTGACTCATTGACTATTGTTCACAGGACTGTTACGAAGTGCCTTTGTTCATCAGTCAGACTTCTCTGCTTTTCAGCTTAACTGATGCCTAGTGACTAATGTGGTTTTCTTTTCCTGGAGAATTTTACATCTTTCCCTTTTCTTTGTGGTTTTTGACGGATTAGAGAAGGTTTTATAGTGCTAGGAGAGAAGAAAAGATAAAGATCAAGTTCCTCTTCAGGCCCAAAAGCAGAGGGCATTTATTCCCCTGGAAGTGAGTAAAATTTCAGTGATGCAGAGGCCACATCTGACCTGAAATCTGCCTAACTACTCAGAAGAAATCATTGCATTACAGTAAAGTCCAGTGACACTTCATTTGTCTGCATGCTCAGAGGCTGTGCGATTGGCTGGGTGTCAGAATATGTAGGGCACAGCAAAAGTTGTGTCACCCTCCTGACTAGGAAAGGCAAGGAGGGAAGCATTGGTTTGGTATAGCTCAGTGGTGCTGTTGCAGGTGCTGCATGAGATTCAGCCTTGTACAGAAGAAGTGGTAGTATTGACATTCTTTCTCTGATATCCAGAGAAGTCTTAGGAAGCTTAGTCCAACCTGATTTATGATCCCTTTTATTGACATCACAGTACAAATAAAGTGCACTGAACCGTGCTGCGGGGCTCATCCATAAAGATACATGGATTGCTACAACATGCCAAGGAAATGCATCTGTAGAGGTGGGAAAAGAATGTATTTTTTCCTTAACTGTTTAAGAATGGTTTGCTGTTAGCCAAAGTAATCTTTTAAAGACAGTCCTGTTGGACTTGTGAGAACTTATACAGTGGTTCAGTTTTTGAATGATGTGTTGTTTTTACAAAAAAAAGTGCTATGATACAGTACAATTGTAAGACATCTTGCTGTTTTCTATATAGCTGAAGTTTTTACCCCTCCAGAATTTTAAAGGTAGCATTGGGTATTTTGGGAGGAAAATAAAACTTGTTTAACAAAAAAAAAAAAAAAGAATATTAAAGAGGTATTGTTTAAAACTGAATGTACATAAGATTGTTAGTATGCAAACAGTTGTGTTTAAAGTAATTTAAATGTTAAATATAGTTGTATATATTTTTCACTCTCACTCAGATACAGTTTGTACCTTCCTGTCTGCAGTACTGGGCACAAATTAGTCAAATGAAAAGAAAAAGAAAATCTGTTGTATTCTCCACCAATTTCAAGACTAAGTATTTTCATAGACAATGCATTGCCATCAGCCTTTACTCCTTTGGTCTCACTGAGGAAAATAAGAAAAGTCGGCATTTAATAATTGGTGGAGAAAGGGGTTTGGACAGGGACAAGAATCCTACGTGATAGCACCAGTGTTAAACACATACCATAATTTTGGCTGTGAAGATGTGACCATTCTGTGCTGCAGCAAGCTTATGTAATTGTATTACAGCCTGTAGAGATGGGGTGTTAAGTTCAGTTCACTGTTGATCACATTTGATTGTGACTCACTAGTGATTTAAGTGGGAGCTGTTTTCGACTTTTTTGATCGAAGCACACTGTAATATGGCTGTCATGTACAACCTCTCTCCACTCACAAAGGCAGCAGTTTGTCGCAAAGACATGGCCAAACACAGCTGCAGAACAGTTGAGTGCAAGACCGGTTTGGTCCTGCTGCTGAGAAAGGGGCTGAAACTGCCATGCTCTAAGCATAGAGCGCTGTGGTGTAGTATAGTCCAGCCCCAAACTGGCTGAATTGTTTTAAAAAAAAAAAAAAAAAAAAGTGATACTAATCCAGTTCAGTAACTGGCAATTAAAGTTTGGGATGTTCTCTAAAGAAGGTTTTAAAATGAATATTTTACTCATGTTTAATACCCTGTTTCCCATGGTTTAAAAATAAATGGGGAAGGATACATCTGGGTATATGCATTTATGTATATTAATGTGGAAGAAACCACAGATGTACTCTTTATTCCTCTGGGTTGCACCCAGGTACGTTTTACGGACACTGAAAACTCAGGTTTGATTCCTCTGTTCAGTCAGGTTCTCTTGAAGCTTGATCTAACAGTAATAGAAGCTTGCCTTAATTTAACAGATAACTTGAAACCACTCCAGCTATGAGGAGAAAAGAACTGTAGATTTGTAAGCACTTGCCACAACAGCCGTGTCCTTGTGTACTGTCAGGTTAGTGTGTGCTCTAGTAAGCTACTTTGACTCTTGAAATTTTTGTCTACAAGTATTGCTTGCTGCTCACTGTAGGCAAAGGACCTTTTCGGGTGTGTAGGAGTCTCTTTTCTGGGAAGCTGACATTCTATTAGCCTCAGAAAAGAGAATTTTTTTTTTTTCCCTCTTGGATTATCAGATGAAAAATTTGCAATATCTATTCTCAGTAATGATAGGCTATTTTGTGTTGCAGTATGAGTGGCAGATATTGGGATCTCTCCTTCTTTTCTTTTGCTCACTCGCTCTCCTTTGCTCCCTCTGTTTCTGAGATAAATGCAGCTGAAAGACTTGTGGGAACAGAGTCTGTAATATCTACAAACTAGAGGTTTTTTTCCTTCCTCTGCTGGTGACATTGATTACCAAAAAAAAAAAAAAGCAAATGCATCAAGTAAGCTCAAAAGAACAATAACAACTGTAGCTTTAAATACTTGATAAGGCGAATTAAACACTAGACCTCTTTTCCTTTGCCTGTATAGCTCTCTGACATACGTAAGTTGACCTTCTTCTAAATGTCTGCCTCTTTAAAGACCTGATCTGATATTGCAGTAGGGGATAGCTCCTAGGATACTGGCTGGATGAGTCTCCTCTAACATAAATTTGTATCAGCTATTGCTGGGCTTTATGGATATCCACTCATCACTCACTCTGGACATCTGGATTCAAAGTGAAAATGAGTTTTAATTGACCCATTTTGTCTTTTTCATGAGAAGAAGTAAACAAAAGAAGGGCAACTATATGGAAGACAAAAGCCTGTAAATTAGGTCAAGCTCAAGGAGAAGTAGCGATCCTTCTTTTTGTATGGGGAGGAAGTTTGAAGAACTCGGGAAAGTCTAATTCAGCCATCTGCAGCCCCAGCACCCAAGGGGGTACTACTGCTCCCTAGCCTTCCTCTGATCAAGATTATTTGTAAGCAGTATGGCCAGCCCTTTACTGGATGCAGTCCTTTACTCTGCTGTTTGAAGGAAAGGTGAAGTGAACAGCAGTTAACACAAGGAGCATGACTTTATCTCTTCAGGGACTTTCTGACGGCTGCTTTGTCAGTGCAAGTGCCACACCAAAGCTGCTCTCCTCCATTTCATGAAGACTCTTGTTACGTGGAGTATTGTATGTGGCTCTGGGATGCGACCACTGAGCCAGGTTGTTTCCTGGCTCAGGTATGCACGAATAATGTGCAAATGATTTCCTTACCAAAGAAGGAGGCATGTAACCCTTGTTTTGTTTTCTTTGTATTTGTTACAAAACAGACATAATACTAGAAAGGTCTTTTCAAGAGAACTGAAGTAGTAGGTAGTGGATCAGGCTCTGATTTGGAGACAGGTTCAGTGTTGCTGCTGCGTGGCAGTGCAGTTGGTTGAAAAGTATAGGACTT